GCCTCGGAAGTGATCTGACTTGGTTTAGTCGGAACCGGGTGGAAGCGAGTCACTCGTCTGTCCCGGAAGGGCCGGAACCGCGAAGGGGACCACCCTCTGCGCAGGCCATACAAAGCCGCCGACCCAACTCGGCGATTCGTTGTGGTTTGTGTAAGGAATCCACATCTGGCGATATTTGTGTGTTCTACTACACCACAACTGGTGCCGCGACCCGGGAACAGGAGTGTGTGCTTGTTTTTATAGGTGCCAGCTAACCAAGTTAAGAGGAAGAGAAGAGAAAGAGAAGAGTGAAGATGGTCAAGGGATCAGCAACTCCGAGCGACGGAAGCCCAGCGACGGCTGGAGGATCGCCTCTCGCGGGGTCGGACCCGGCGGATCAACGACTCATCGCCATGACGATGGAGGTGGGACGAACCGTCCAGTTCGACGAGGATGGCCAAGACCAGGAGAGCGAGAACGGAGATGCAAGTGAAGGAGAGTATGAAGAGAAGGCCGAGACCGCTGAGCTCGGAGAAACGAAGACTACCGCCGAGCTACTTGGCGAGGTGGAAGAGTTGACGCTGCAGGTGGGATGCATGGGAGCCCCACGTCCTGTCGAGCGCAACTTATCCGCCGAGCTCGACGAAGGTGCGGACGATGAAGAAGATGAAGAAGAACATGGCGTTGCTCAAGGGGACCGTCCGCCCCTTATTCCGAAAGCGACGAGGAACGCCGATACGCCGAGCGCCAATAAAGTGTTGGCTCGACTCGGCGAGGAGATGAGAACGAGATCGGAATGGATGATGATGTTCGCGCCTGTAGCGATGGCGCAGGCGAAGTGGCCGATGTTGGGCCCCGAGTTAACTCAGCCGGTGCGTGCAGCCAACATCAACCAGTTGGTGGAAGAAACTGTGTTGCTGTTGAAGGCGATGGGCTATCAGTGCAACAGCCGACCTAACAGCCTCATCCTGTCCGACTGGAGTCTGACCCGTTGCGGAGCCGAACTCTGGCAATGGAAGAAGAAGCTGAGAGTGGCGTTTGGATTGGAGAAGGCCCCTGGTGGAACGAAGAAGGTGTACAGCCGAGTAGCCGAGTTCAAACCACTCGGCGAGGACCCGAGCAAGATTCCTTTGCCGAAGACCCCGGAGACGAAGAGACGTGAAGTGTTCCGCGCTACGCAAGGGACTCCGTACTTCGAAGACTCTCACATGCTGACTCCACTGAAGCTAAACCCGACTCAGCGAGCGCCGAGTCGTGGGCAGCGGAATGTAGGTCGTTACCGTGAATTGTATGACGCTGCAGATGAGGCTGAGGCTTACGAGGAGGATGAAGAAGACGACGACGCCTTCGACGTGAGAAGTAATCGTGAAGAAACCGTGAAGGAAGAACTGTATTCACATAATAAAAGGTCCATCTTATTAAGGCGCGAATGGATGGCGTGCCACTGGCACTTCGTCCCTTATTCGCCCTTTTGCGCTGCCACTTGTCCACTTCGACTTTTACCGTGGACGCAAGACCATCACCAAGCAACCTAGCGTGACCATGAGCAAGCTGTTCTACGCGTTTGCCGTGCTCGCAGTACATGTACTTACTAGTAGCCCGACAACTGCAGCATCTAACCTACCCGTTAATCTGGTAACCGGCCCTGCATTCACGACACCGGCTGGTGCTGCCCATAGAAGATTTCTTCGATCCATCCACGAGGGAGAGGACAGCTTGAAGCCATCAGCGTTTTCTGAAGAACGCACAGCACTGAGAGCAATGGATTATCTCTTGAAACCGAAGCATAAGAAGCTCGCTGCGGCTCTAAAAAAATCGACCTCGAAACACAAACTCAGTGTTGCTCCGGAGAAAATGAAATCAATTCAGGTTCTAGGAGATCCAAAGAATCCGGAAAGAGAGTGGTTCAAGCGGCTTTATAACAGCAAAAGGGGGGACCCACAAACGTTGAGGAAACTTGGACAGTTCAAGACCGAAGCGCAGCTTTCGCGGTATATCAAATTCTACGTTGTTTGCAGAACTTGCATCGCTTGTTACAGTAGTGGGCGGAGTGACTCATGCCACCGCACACCGCGCATGGTCCGTACTGTGGGCGTCGGTTGTCGCGATTGAAGTCACGTCGACCGCGTTGGTCCTGATTGAACCCACGGTCACCACCTCGGCGATCTTGATTGAAGCCATTATCGCGATCAGGCATGTTTCCACGTGGTTGACGGTTGTCTGAACGTGCGTAGGTGCCTTCAACAGCTGCACGGCGCTCATTTTCGTTAGCCGCGGCGAGGTATCGGTCGTTTTCGTCCAATGAGAAATTACCGTCCGTATTATCAGGCTGAAAGTCGTTGTACTCATCTTGGACATCGTCGTAAGCGTTCGGATCTTCGTTTGAATACTCGGTGCCTCCCTGAGCAGCTTCACGACCTTCTAATTCAGCTAGTAGGCCGTCCACCGTGGCTTCAATGAGTGTCACTCTTGGTTTGTTGCGGCTGTCATCGCGGCGACGGTCATCACGCCGGTTGTTGCGGGCGTACCCATCGTCGCGTCGCGTATCACGACTCTTGGAGTATCGGTACTCACTGTCACGCCTGGCCATTCTCTCCTTGCCCTTGAGAACATCTTCGATGATCTCTTCGAGCTCGTGAATGTCGGCGACTCGAGCGTGGTAGAGACTCTCCGCTAGCTTGTCATCGTCGCATGTTGCCAGGAATTGCTGTACGTGTTCTTATGCGTCGCGACCACTCTTCTCAAAGTGTAGACGGGCGGTCCGAGCGTAGCCATTCAGCCTGTTTATGTAGTCGCACAGATGTTCATTACGTTCCCGCTTGGCGGAGTAGTAACGCGACAGTGCCGTCTGCGTGAACTGCGAGCAGTAGTAGCGGATGAGCGCATCGCTCAACAGCTTCCACTTGCGCTTCGTCTTCTTCGGAAGTTGACGGAACCAATGAATGGCTCCGTCCCGGAGACTTAGCTCAAATGGAATGCACCATTTATCGGCATCTGTGTGGGTTCCAGTCATTTCATAGACGAACCCACGGAGCCACTGCATACAGTTCTCGCTCTTGTTGCGAGAGCCTGAGAACGGCGTGATGCGATCCAGCGGTCGGTGCGAAGCCATTTCAATCCTCGGTGTCGGGTCTACGTCGTTTAGCGTCGCTAGCTCATTCATCTGACGCATCAACTCGAGTTGAGGATCTTCCTCGTCGAATGTACGCACCAAAATGTCATCGTCACTGGACGAACCATCGCCGTCGACTTGACGACGTCCGTCACCACCTTTGGGAGCTCGCGCACCGCCTCGGCGACCGAACGAACCCTCGTTACCAGCGTAAATACGTTGCATACGGCTCTCCGAACGTGGCGTAACCATGTGCGAGTCTTGAAAGTACGGTGAAGCTTCGGTAGTGCCAAAGGCACCACGCTCAGCTCCACGCTTGGTCGGAGGAGTACGAACGAGTCGTTGGGGCGTCGGCGGCAGTGGAATCTTAGACGGATCTTCATCTTGAATCATCGGTCGACTCACAGGCTGCTTTCCGGCATTGATGCCAACGGCGCCAAACGCCTTCCGAAGCTTATTCTTCCATTTCTGGAGAGCAGCTCCGGCTTCATGTGGACTCCAATCCTGGAGCGACATCGTCGATGGGTACGTCTCGTTCTCGAACCCCAGCGACAACAGTAGCGAAACTGAATCCTCGGCAACTTGACTAGTCGAAACCGAGTTGACTGGGTATTGAAGTTCCTGCGCAAGCGCAGGCCAGTCGGCCTTTATCTTGGGGATGGGCTTGAACAGCTGCATCCACTCATCATTCTGCATCAGCGCTTGTACGCGGTCGAAAACGCGCTTGGCGGCTGGTGTATCACCGTTGATAGGTGGGCGAGGTGCCTTCAGCAGTGCTGAATGCTTTGCACTCGCCACCGAAGGTTTAAAACCCTCGGTCCCATCGTCATAATCATCATAGGCCGGCTCCGGTCCCGCAACATCATCGAGCTCGTCGGCGAGGTTCCTCGAAAGGGACTTGGTCGCCCCGCTCAGCCCCGATGATAGCGTGGCCGTCTCCGGCGTCGCTGCGCCTGGCACTGGAGCCGGCGTCTTATCTTCGTA